AGGGCTGGGTGAGGGCACTGGAATGTTCCTACCGATAAATGAGCAAGGAGCCATCTGGGGCTCAGACTTGGGCCTTCTCATTTTATAGCGAGAGGGGGGTGGGCTGAGGAGGGTCATGGAATCCTTTTGTGGGTACAGAGCTTATTCCATCATTACCAACTTTGGACCTTGGGCAAGGTCCTTAACCTTGATGTGCCTCAGTTTTCTCATTTGTAAACGTGGAATAATACTGGTACGAACCTCACAGGACTGTCATGTTCTGGGTCCACATTTTACCACCACAGTCAACCAGGCCCTTGTACTTACTGGACCCCAGGACCTCTTGGAGGCCATGCCTTTCTACCCTGGGCTGTGTGATTGCTTCCCCATCACTGCCTTTTCTCCAGGCCCCCACCCCCCCATCTCACAGAACACCAATGAGTGAAATTATCTTTGCTGTTCTCCAATGGCTTCCCATCCCTGAGTTCATTTCTCTGAACAAAGGGAGAAACCTGACTGCCGTTTTGCCTCCTAGACTGCCTCGCCCAGCCACACCCCCCGATTGTTGTCAACTCCTAGTGCCCTGGCAGCAGCTCACTTGCAGGGAGCCCCCTCCTCCTCGAAATGCCCTTGTCCTCAGCGTCCATGAAACTGCTCATCAGGGTTCTTCCCTGCCTGCTCCTGCCCTCTTTTAACAGCTTTTCTTCCTTCTACAGAGACCTCAACCCTTCCAGGACTTCAGTCCCTACCATGCATCAAAGGTTCCCTGTTCCCCAGCCAAAATCTCGCCCCAGAGCCTGAGACACACACATCTAACTGTCTAGGCAACACCCTTTGATAAACAGTAATACCTTGGACTTGAGGGGCATTAGGAAGATTTAATACAAGGCATGCAGAGTTCCTGGCATACGACCTGGCCTAGTAGATGTTTGGCAAATGGTAGGTATTATTATTATTTGCAATTTTAGTTTTAAAATTAGCACCATTTTAATAGGCAGAAATACTAATTTGAAAAGCGCGGACAAAACTCTCTCCCAGGGGGACTTCCCTGGTGGGCCAGTGGTTAAGACTTCGCCTTCCATTGCAGGGGGTGCGGGTTCGATCCCTGGTCGGGGAGCCAAGATCCTACACGCATCACGGCCAAAAAAACCAAAACATAAAACAGAAGCAATATTGTAACAAATTCAATAAAGACTTGAAAAAATGGTCCACATCAAAAAAAAAAAAAAAATCTTAAAAAACACCCCCAAAACTCTCTCCCAGGGATTGAAGAGGGGATTGAAGTTCTTTCTTCAACCTCTGGGGTTAGTGGGTTGGAAACCCCACACCAGTCACTGCAGGCCAGCCATTCTGGAAACCAGTTCCTAAATTCCATCTCCAGGTCACCTAATTAATTAATTAGCGTTCCAGTGATTACTCCTGTTGACAACCTTGGTGGCTCTTGGCAAGGTTGGGTCAGCCCAAGCAGGTCCAGACTTATTGTGGCAAATCACATTGGCTTCTGGGATGTGAGACATGATCCCCACATGGCAGAAGCAGCGCGTCGTTAGAGAGAATTAAGTGGGAGGAAGAATGGGGGAACGAGGTCCTCTCAGCCAAACACCCCATTATGCACAGGTCCGCCCGCATCCTGTTGGGGTTGATGCAGGTGAGGAGGGGGCTCTGAAGATCACGTCCCTACCCTCCTTTCCCAGAGAACAGACTTATTACAAAATGACTATATTCTTTCCAACTAGACAAGGAGGCTTGGGTTGCAACGAGAAGGATTTTGGTTAGACACCCAGAAGAACTAACTTCCATGCCTATTTGTGGCAGACATGGGGGAAGGGAGAAGCCTGGACGTTGACTCACTTAGGCCAGGGCTGCTCACTTAGAACACCTCTCTGCAGCCGGAGCTGGAGGCCCGAGTGGCGGGACTGTGGCCATTTCTCCATTATTTGCCCCAAAGGAACACCTGCCCTTAGACCCGTAGCACTCCTAGACTCTTCCCCACCACAGGGAGGCCCCAGCTTCCTCCTCTCTACACTGTCTCAGGGTAGGTGAAGGGAAAAGAGTGAGAAGAGAACATCCTACAGGACAAGCAGATGCAACATCTCCTGGGAGCTCTGGACTGGGAGTGAGCCTCTGGGGTGTCCTTCTATATTTGCACGTGGCTTCTGTGACTTTGGGCCGGGTCCTTGGCTGCTCTGGGTCTCCATTTGCCCCAGCAGAGCCAGGAGGGTGGTAGACTGGATGACCTTGAAAATCCTTCCAGTGGGACAGGCTCATGGGGTTTCTCTGCCCTGGCTCCCTCTCCTGTGCAGACAGGTAGAGCTATGGGAGCCGGCTACTTGAAGCTTCTGAACACAGTGGTACCTGCAAGCACCTGGGGCACTCTGACTCTTGCCCAGAACTGCAGACTCAGCCCAGCTGTTACAAAGAGATGCCGTCAGTGGATCTGGGGAGCGGCGGGCCCAGGCCTTCCAGACAGGGATGCCAGGACCGCCGAGAAGTGCCCGCCCTCTCGTCTTCTGAGCTCCCAGGCAACCTGGAGCCCCCAGCTCTATTTGGAGTCCCCAAGCATCAGGATATAGCTGTTCAGCTTTCGGGTTGAGGGGAAGGATGGGGAGGCGTATCCCTGCTCCACGGCAAGGCTGGGCCCTGTGGGTGTGAGGTTACTGCTGAGCTTCCCATCCTGTGTGCGCTGGCCTGGCCCCCGACATAGGAGCCCCATCCCATTATAATTTCCTCCTGAAACTCTGGGGCTCAGTGGAGGCAAGTGACTCCTGTCCTCACCCTCTTCGGGCCCTGGAGGCTGGGTCACTACCTCCTACTCTAAGACCCTGGGTCTCCAGTCCTCACAGTCCCAGTGTAACACCCCAGGACCCTTATTTCCACCTTCCCCAACTCCCCTGGAGGAACCTGCACCCCTCCCGCCCCGCAGGGTCAGTCCTGTGGTCACGGATTCAGAAGCGTCCATCTGCGGCCACAGCCCCCATCTTCCCATGAGTTTTGTAACTCCAAATACCATGATCATTCTTTGCCCTCCTTGGGTCTGCCTCTGCACCAAACCTTGCTTTTCCCACTCGGCTTGCTCATGCTTCTTCACCCCCACCCAGCTAAGATTCTGGGGTCCTTTGCTCCTCCTGAACTCCTACCAGCCTCCCGAATGCCTCACCCAACCAGACGAAACTGGAGCAGGCCCCGTACCTCTGGGTAGACAGGCCCTGGCCATCCCCACAGACCTGTGTCCACCCCCAGCCGTCCCCTCCTCTGACCCCCGGCACTGCCCACCAGGCTCTCTGACTTCCTTAGTCCCCTGTCTCTCCCGTTCTCCCCTCTGAAGGTCTCCAGCCTTCTCCATGGTCCTCTGACCTTTGACCTCCCCCTTCCCACCCACCTCCTTCCTCTCTGCTCAGTCATGAGAACACAGGAGCTATCAGATCAACTTCCTTAACCTCCCCACCCCCGAACTCCACCCCCCAAACAACATTTGCCTCCCCCTGCTAAAGTGGGGAGGGGTCTCCCCCACCCAGGCGAATCCTTTGAACCCCTTGTCTGCGTTCTGACTCCCCCACTTCACGGACTTTGCTCTCTGTCCTCCTCCTCCAGTGTCCTTCTTCTCTCCTGGTGCCTTCCCTTTGCATTTACACAAGCTCCAGTCTCTCCCATTTTAAAAGAGTGAAAATAAATAAAAGCCTCTCTTGATCCCACATCTCATTCCAGCTCTGGGTCTGCTTCTCTTTGTTCCCCCAGTACCAAGCCTCTAGACCAAGCGGTCAGCCTGCCAACCCATTTCCTTACCCCCCAGCTGGGCTCCACCCCTCGGGATGGGGTTTGCCTTCACGAACTGAGACCCCAATGGGCGCTCTTCAACCCCACGGAGCTTGACCTCTCGGGAGGGTCTGACCCTGTGGATGCCCCCCAACTCCAGTCTCACTTGGCTCTGTCCTTACCTCCCTGGCCACTTGTCCTTGGGCAGCTCCCCTCCCCAGGGCCTATTTTCTCCACACGCTCCTGGGTTGATCCCACCCACCATTCTGGCTTCCATCACTGTTTTATGCTGGGGGCTCCTACTTCTGTCCCTCCAGCCCAGGCCTCTCTCCTGGCTTCTAGACCCAAAGCCAGCTTCCACGGGGCACCTCTGTTCACAAGTTCCACAGGTTCTTCAAACCCCACGCGTGCATCCAGCTCTACATGCTGTCCTCCTGCACGCCGGCCCCTCCTCATCTCCGTCTTGCCGGGTTGTTCAAAACCAGAAAGCCCGGGCGCACATCCTGCCGGTTCCCTGTCCTCCCACCACACGCAGTTCTTCATCAGATCCTGATGAAGCTGCCTCCTAACTCTCTCTTAAAGGACCCACTTCCCTCCATGCCCGCTGCCAGCAGCCTGGTGCAAGCCGCCATCATCTCTCGCTGGACTCCCGCCACCGCCTCCTGAAGGCTCTTTCTCCAGAGCTCCAACGCAGCCTCACCATACAGCCATGGGGACCGTTCAAAATCAGGAATCTGTAGTCTTGCTCTGCCCAGCTCTTCTGGTAACGTCTACCCACTGCGCTGGCTTCCAAGTTCCCGGCACCCGCTGACGTCAGGGCCCCGTACCTGGCCCACCTCATCTTCCCCACTCTCTGCCCAAGAGGCAGGCTTTCCTCAGCTGTGTGCCGCCTCCCTTCATACCAGGTGACCTCAGCCTATGTGTCCCCTCACCTCTTACACACCTGGCCAGCTCTAGCGCATCCTTCAGGCCCCCATGAAATGCCACTTCTCTCTAAGCTCTGTTTGGGCCCCTACTGTCTCCTCCCATGGTCAAACTCCTCCCATCTTAACACTGCTCACCCTTCACTTGCTATTCCATTTCATCGCTGTGTTCACTGCTTGACCCTTGACCCTGAGAGGTCAGAGCCTGGGCCCGTCTCATTCACCGTCTAACCCCAGTACCTAGCTAGCACAGTGCTAAGGTGTCAGCACCGAGTAGGTATTGGTTCATAAGTGACCGAACGGCAACCCTCCCTGTCCTGCCCTTGAGCCCCTCCCTCCACTGACCTCTGACATCTGGGGAAAGAGGCTGATGGCCAGCGGCAGGGCCAGGCCAAAGGCTGCCAGGCACACGAGGCTTTGCACGGGGAGGAGCAGCCGGGGGCGCGCCTGCAGGAGAGCTGTCCTGTTGGGGAGAGAGAAGGGGGTCGCCCATGAGACCCGGAGACAGGGTGAGCTGGCCATTAACCACCATGCCGGGTCCCGCTGGGTCTGAGGGCCAGGCCCAGCCCATAGCTAAGTAGCTGTGGAGGAATTCTATCTTTGGGACCGTCCGCCGGTGGCAGCCCTCTCCCTTGGCCATGTCCTGAAGGACGTTGCTGGTTAAATTCTCAACCATAAATCATAAATGAGCACCTGTGGGGCACCCACCCCACTGTGCGTCCAGCCCTGCGCAAAGAAGGCCACGTGTGGGGTAGACGATAGAGGAGGCTGTCGGCCCCTGCTCCTGTGCAGGGGGTGGGGGGCCCACGTGGGGACAGAGCGGAGGAAGATGGGCCTTGAAGGCAGCACATATTGCAATAGTGAAAAAACCACACACGCATTCACGCACATGCACGCACAAGCACGCGTATGCACGCGCGCACAGCCAGGAGAGGATGACCTCTTCTGGGTATGGGAACAGAACACACCCTGCTGACCACCTTGTCACCTTCAATCCAAGAGCCACAGTGACTTGCCCAAGGCCAAGACCAAGTCTGCGGGAGGCAAGCAGGGCTGCTGTGTGGGTTCCTCTGACTCCCTAAAAGTGCTGTCACTGAGCTGCTCTGGCTCTTGCCTTAAGGACCCTTTGCCCGCTGCATCACCAGTTCACAGTTGGCACCCCTCCCCACGGTGAACAAAAGAGCTGGGGTTCTTGGGCAGGAGAGGGGTACGAAAGCCTCCCTCCAGGGCCCTGGGTCCCCCAGCCCCATGACAAAACGGCCTCTCCAGACAGAGTGGAGGGCAGAGCAGCTGGCGAGTCCACCTTCACTGCGTTGTCCCTCAGAACACTTCGCTCTGTATAATCCACCAGGCATTCTACTTGGGGAGGCCTGAGGTGGCATGTGTCAGCAAGATGGATTATTTGCCAAGGGATGTTGGGTGGGTACGCATGCTGCCCTGGGTCAGCGTCAGCCTCCACCGGACTGAGACTGGCTCCTGGTGTGAAGAAGCTATAACCAGGGCTCTTGCCCCTCCCCTCCTGGAGCAGCGCTGCTGTGGCCACAGGCAGGGGAGAGGCTCTTCTGGGGGCAGCGCCTCAGTGTCGCGGCAGGCAAACCCCGCACCACCTTCACCTCCTGGCACATGAATCCCAAAAGCAGCTGGCTCTAAGGCGACAGCAAAACTGGGAGCAGCAGTCCTCAAACTTTAGTATCTAGGCAGTGGTTAAAAATGCAGACTCCCCCATGAGATCCTGATTCAGTTGGTACTACACCTGGGAACCTTCCCTGAGTCTAAAACAGGTGATCCCCAGACCACACTTCTGGGAAACTCCGGCCCAGGATGTTCCTACTTAGGTACCAATAACAATCCAATTACTCGTAAATTCTGTGCAAGTAAAAGACCTGGACACAGTAAGTGCTCAGTGAGGTGTGTTAGTATTGCTGCTGTTACCGCCCTTGTTACCAGCAGGAAGGAGGGAGGATCCTGGTGGCTGGGTTGTCCTCCAGCCCTTCCCACTGGCCCAGACTCCAAGATCTGTCCAGTTGTTGAATTAAGCCTGAACTGAGCTATTGGGGAGGAGAATTTCCACAGGATTAAGAACAGGGGGACAAAGGTACCCAAATGAAACTCAAGCCCTTCTGGCATCCCCTCTGCCTTGGTCCAGTGCCCCCATCTTCTCCCTCTCCTCCAGGTGAGCCTTACCCCCCTCTTCCCCACGGACTCAGCCTGAGGCCTCCTGGGCTTCCAAGGGAGTCATGGAGGGCTGGGATAAGGCTGAGATGGGTCCTGAGATGTTTTCAACTCAGATTAACTTCTCCAGCAGGACCAGAAGGTGGGCACTCTTGCTCCCGTGGCAGCGACTGGGACCTCAGTCCCTGAGGGTGGCCAGAGCAGAGGGGAGGGGACAGGAGGGTGTGTGGTCCCTGGAGGCACCGCCCCGAGGGAGGATCACGGGAGGGAGGTTCCCTCCCTGGCAGGTGAGGGGCAGGACATTGACTCATTCGGTGGGGACACTGGACAGACCCCTTCTACGTGGGGCTGCGACCTTGGTTCCTCTCTCCGGGTGGCTGGCTGAAGTCCCCACTGTGAAAGGGATCCAGAAAGTCCCAGGCCTGTCCTCCCCACTCAGGAAGGAGGAAGGTTCAGACAGCAGCCAACAGGAGCCTCTGAAGTCCCAGCCCAGGCGGGAGAGTGAACACAGCAGGACAGGGGGAGGGGAGGAGGAGAGGGAAATGGCAGGGAGGAATTGGAAAGGCAGCTGGGGGAGTTAAAATATGCAGATGGAGAGATGTGCGAATGCCTGGGAGAGAGGAAAGACCCGGATCCCCGGGAATGAGGGAGGCTGGGGAGCGGCCTCAGGAGCTACCGTGGAGGGTGTGGCCTGAACCCTGACCAAGATGAGACCCAGCCTGGGAGGGCAGAAAAGTCCAGGCCCGGGCCAGGGCCAGGGATGCAGAGCTGGGGGAGAGACCCCCCCACAGCTGCCTCCGAGTTGGGGGGCGGGGCTACTCTCCGGGCCCTGAGTCCAAAACCAGCTTCCTCCCCAGGACAGTGGAGCTGGAGTGGAGCCCTGGGCCTGAGGGAAGGTCCGGTGGAGAGTGAGGGGTGGGGCGTACGCCCCTCAGAGAGAGGCCCTGCTCGGCAGAGTGGAGGATTCTCGGCTTCTGACGGGAGACCCTTTTCCTTTCATCTCAGAGACAGGGACACCTGAAGACGCCGCCCACCTCTGCTATCCCAGCAGGAAAGCCAGGGTCCTCCCAGAGAGGAGAAACTGAGGCCGGGGCCAAGCCAGCCTCGCTGCCACACAACAGCTTGTCTCCCCATTGCCGTGCATTCCCTCAGCACTTGGAGCAGTTTTACTTTTGCGCTCCATTAATTTGCAAGCAGGCTGCTTTGTAAGTGTTCTTTTGTCTTTTTTCCCTGGCTGTCCTGACTCCCTCACCCAACCGGGGGCTCCCGAGGGTCGAGGGTAGGGCTGCCTCCCCCATCAGCCTCCCCAGCAGAGGCCCTTCCATTAGCACCCTGCATGGAAAGGCCGTGGGGTGCCCGGCAGGGGGGCCCCAGCCAAGAGCCAGGGGCCCGCTGGATGGTGCAAAGTGCCAAGCTCTAGTGGACAAGGTGGTGAGGGGGGCAGTGACATCATTCTCCAGGTGGGAAACTGACCAGCCCCCCGGGACTCCTGCCAGGAGTCTCAGTTGGTGCCGGACCTGCCCTGCCCCCCACCTCACAGTCTGGCAGCTCCCACCCCCCTCCCGCCCCATGTATATGAGGTTAATTATGGCTTTGAGGGTGCAAACTGAGTCTTGTTCGTCTTGATATTCCTGGGGGAACCCAGACTGGACTCTTTCTCCTCCTCAGAGACCCTCCCACAAGCTTCAGGGAAGGACCAACTAAATACAAGTCTTCCAGGAGACCAATGGCTAACCCTCTTCTACCTACCCGAGGGGCTTCCTTTGACCCTGAGCTGAGCCAGATGCAGGGCACCCGCAGTCCAGGTTGATTCCAGGCTGGGACAGTCAGAACTAGAACAATCCCACCCCACCTCCCAAGCCTCCCAAAGCTAAGTTTAAGCCCCCAACCAATGGGACACTAACCGTCACTCCACTTTCTGTAAACCCAGCTCAGATGGCACCCAGAAGGCATCACAGACCACATTTTTCCCCAGCAAATTCCAGGTTCAAGATTCAGTAGCCTTGAAGACAGAAGCCCTCCCTTCCTCATTTGCCCAGTGGTGTCCTTGTATGCACTTGCAGTCGCTGGTATTTGGGAACAGCCTCAGTTCACCAGAGAGCGGCGTATACGAGGATCAGGGGCACCGAAGGAATCGCTTCCCATGATTTATTTTTGCAACTTCCAGAGGAGATTAATATTCTTAAGTCTCAGTGTTCAACACACCATCCCTTGCTCAGGTAGCCACGCCCACTATGCACCTCGCCCACTCTTCCAGGGGACGAAGAAATCATCCCCTCAGCTGGACACAGGGCCCCTTGTCAGCAGGCGCAATGAGAGAGCGTGCTTTGCTTCTGTTGGGTTGGGCTCTTCAAGGTCCACGCAACAGGGTCACACCTTGCCCAGAAAGCCCTCCCTTCCACCAAAATCCTATCTTACTCTCAGTGCCAGCTGCAGCCTCTTTCCTCTGGACCAGCCCTCCCCTCAAGGTCACCCTGACCCTGTTCCCACACTGCCAGGTCCCACCTGCAGCTGACCTTTGTGTGGGTCCTGCCCTTATCAAAACACAGGCTTTCTGAGGCCAGTTCCCCAAATCTGCCCCTCTCCTGTCTCCCTGCGGGGTGGATTCCAAAGACAGGCTGATTATGTGCTGTGATCCAAAAATCCAAGAGGCAGCCAGCGTGGTAGGAAGAGCCCAGCTTTGCAGCCGTAGTCCTGGGCCCTGCCTGGCTCTGCCACTTCCTAGTGTGTGACTGTAAGCAGATGATACAACCTCTCTTTGCCTTCCTCTCCTTGTCTGTAAAATGGGGACATCATGCTCACCTCTTTGCACTGTTGTGAAGGTTAAATGAGATCATTCATTCATCCAACAAACACTGAGCATCACTGTGTGCTAGGAACTCTGCTAGACACTGTGCAGGGCAGTAAACAAAAGAATTGACCTGCCTCCATGGAGATGACCTTCTAATGAAGCAGACAGATAGCATATAACTAAATAAAGAATCTCAGCTATCGATAAGTGCTGTGAGTAAAAATAGGGCAGTGTAGTGGGGGAAGAAGTCCTGGTGGCTGTAATCTCGATGGGGTGGTCAGGGAGGGCCTCGTTGAGGAGATGGCATTTGGGGGGGACCCGGCTGGGAGAGGACTGGGATGCAGCCAGTGCTTAGCTGTTAAGTGTTAGCCGTTATTGTAATTTGTTTTCTGGGACTACGAAGGTCCCCAAATTGGGGAGAAGCCCCTGATCCAGAGCCTCAGAGGGAGTGGCCCCGAGCCCATCCACTGCCTTGAGGTGCCCCTCCCAGGCTGGGCCCCCAGGAAGGAGGGAGCGATCACCTCTTCACTTTTATCTGCACCAGACCTCCAAGCCTTTGCTCATCTGGCTCCCCACACCTGGAACCCTTCCCTTCCCTTTGCCGTCCTCCTAGATATTCCCCAACCCTCAGGGCCTGCCCAAACCAGCCCTGCTTCCTCCCTCCTCTCCTCAGCCTCTCCTTCCAGCAGCATTCCCGCCTTTGTGATTCAATTTCACACTCATTAATTAATAGAATCACTCCATCATTGTTCTTATTATTGTATCTCCTTATTTCTTTATGGTCAGGACAAATGTGTTCTCAGAACATCCCTCTGAGGGCGGCAGGGAGGTTAGTACAATTATTGTCTAAATGAAGAAACTGAGGCTCAGTGAGGTGGTGACTTGCCTCACGGCAGATGCCGGAAAGGGATGCGCTGGGCCCAAGTTTAGTCTTCCCACCATAGTCCTCAGACCCTCTTCACCACTGGTCCTGTGCTGTGCACTAATAGACCGCATGCGTGCACACACACACACACACACACACACAACCTAGAATGGCCAGCTCCAGGGCAGGGCCAGCCATGTCCATCGGGACATCCCTCCTAGAACTTAGCACAGGGTCCTGAGCAGCCAAAGTCCATTAATTCTCACAGGATGATTCCAGCAGCCCTGCCAGGGAGAGTTTGAACAAACCAGGAACGTTGCCCTGGGCCAGCAGGTCCCCCTTCCCCCACCCACTCCGCCGCCACGATGGCCTCTGCCCTGGGCCCCAACTCACTTCTCCAGCATGGACATGACGATCGGGGGTAGCACCAGGATGGGCATGGGGAGGACCACCCGCGTCAGCGCCGTCTCCAGCAGGGCCTGAGGGGCAAGCAGAGGCCGTGGTGAGCGGGGCGGGGGTGGGACAGCCTCGGGGCAGCAGCCCTGGAGCCCCTAGGTGTACGTACCACTGCTAAGCACATCTGGCTGAACGGAATCATTCATGGAATCCCTCACGAAGCCATATTCCAAACAACACAAAAAAGCCACCCCCTCTTCCCATAGCAGATCCGCATCACCTGCCACATGTGGGGGGGTGGAGGCAACCCAGAAGCGGCCCCAACAAGGGGCCTGCGCCCAGGGAGGTGAACCGGGTGGCGGGGTACAGCGGCTGGGAGGAAACATATGGAGGACCTGAGACGTTCTAAAAACAAAGCAGGCACTGGAAGGGCGAGAACAAACAGCTGTGGCCTGCTGAGCCGTGTTGGGGCTCCTGGTGCCCAAGAAGAGGGATTCTGGGATTTACTTTCTTTTCCCTTAAAGACAAAGATTTGGAGGATCTTGCCACTTCCTGGCTCTGGATAAGAGTCTTTCTTAAAGACAAGAGGTCAGCTTTGTACGTGGGAAAAGCTTCTGCTGAGTGTCTGCTGTCCCCATATGGGGTCTGCCTGGGACCTTGCTCTGGGGGCTCCCTCAGGATTCCTGGGGCTGGGGGGGCTGGTCAAGGCACAGCTCAGTGGCAGTTCTGCACCCTGATGGTCATTGTGATGAGTTCCTCTAACCCCACAGGCTCCCAGCCCTCAGAGAAGGCTCAAGGAATGCTTGTAACCCATGGGTCCCTGGAGTCCCAAATGGCAAGGGGCTGATATAGGCAGGAGAAGGGAAGCCCAGGGCTGCAGAAGAGCTTGGCGTTCCCTGCTGTTTGGACCACAAGGAGGAGTTATCACAGTTGGCCTCCCTCACAGCAAGTAGGGAAGAGGATAGCGCTGGATAGGTTAGGGTGATGTAGGAAATTGAGGCCAAATCCCTCTGATGATGGGCTCAGGGCTAAACATTTCTCCCAGGAACTTGGGTTCTTCGTGACCAGCCTCAGGAAGGCCTGGGAGAGGTCCCTCCAGTCTTCTGAACAGGTGTGGGGATGACAGGGGGCCCAGAGCCTGTGCAGGAAGCAGAGGATGCAGTGTTGGCACTGGCACCCCTGAGCCCCTTGCCCCTCAGAAGCCTTGGACAGACACTTACTTTCCCTGAGATCAGTCAGTGGGGAGGGAAGGACCAGGACAAGAGAAGTGTCTTCCTACCTCAGAGGCTTATGGAGAAGGCCTCAGTGACAGGGTGCGGTGGGGGGCCATGTGGGAGCTCATAAGGGACAGGGCTGGAGCAGAGGGGACCCAGCACTTGGAGGCCAGAGCAGGACAGGCCACTAACTGCCATTAGGATGAAGGCTGGAAAGCACAGGAAGATATACAAGTGGACAGGAATTTTTTTTTTTTAATTACAATTGCTAGATGGGTTAGGCTGGTGAAACCAGAAGTGAAAGAGGGCCTTCTTGTTACAAAACATTCTTCTCCAAACCACGCCCGTGGCTTCCTGCAAGCCCAAAATCCCTCCGCCTCAACTGCACTCACTCCCTAGTGACTATCACCTGCAGAAGTGCTTACTAGCACACAACCACAAACCATCAGCTTCTATGCGTTGGGAGGATATGAAGGCCCTAGGCCCTAGGTCCCGGGGAAGGGAAAGAAAGCTCTGGGGGGGCCTCCTCTGCCCTTACCAAGTAAGAGGTCAGAGAAAGCACATCCAGAGGGGCTGGGACAAGAGATGGGGATGTTTCCCAGTAGTGATGAGGCGACTGGAGAGAAGCAAGGGTGTCTGGTGGGCAGGTGTGGCTGGGGCCAGACCTGAGGCCTGGGGCTCAAACCAATGGGGGGTGGGGGTGGGAGTGGGGTGACGAGGAGAGCTCAAGAGGGCAAGGCAAGGGCGCTGAGGACACAAGCCCCTGGGGAATGAAAGTGTCTAGGGAAAACCGACCACAGCCTCCCTACCAGCCCCCGAGTCCCCAGACGACCCACATGTCTGGCTGCGATCTTGGAGGAGCCCACGAGGTTGCCATCACCATCCAGGACGTCAATCCCCTCCTCCAGCTCCCCGTACCGCATCAGGACCACGTTGCAGATGTTGGCGCTGGCTGGAGAGAGAGGGTGGCAGGGAGCCGGCGTGAGGGGGGCGGATGGCATTCTACCCTGCGCAGGAGATCACTGGGCTCCACCCGCACCAAGCAACAAAGGTTTTGAATAAATGCCACGTCTGTTCAAACAGTGGGCGAAGGTGTGGTTCTGCTGCCTATCAGCCTGGTGAAGGATTTGGGGGCCCTTGGGAACCTGGAGAGCAAAGGTGGAAAATAACCAGTGTCAGGAAGGAAAGGGAAACTATTCAGGGCTTAGAGAGCGGCCAGGGATCAAGAACGCTGCTTTCCTGTCCTCAGGCGCAGGCCCCACGGGCAGGCGAAGTGGATGCCCACCTGGGAGGGCTCTCGGGCTTGAAGACGCATCGCCCACACTGGTGCCTGATGCTCCACCATCAGCACCTCAGTCCCTTGGGCTGCCTTTCCGGGCATCCTCTTGAATTCCAGCCCCCCACGTTTAGCCCCTCGCTCCTCAGAATGAATCAAGTTCCCAGAGATTTGCTTCCCCGACAACAGGTGCCAGAGCAGGCAGGCACCTCAGTGCTAACCTGGCACCGCCCCCTCATCATATGGATGGAAAATTGAGGCTCAGAGATGGGGAGTGACTTATCTGAGGTCACACAACAAAGCGGGACAGAGCTGAAAGGCTACAGTACCTCATCCTTCGGGTACCCAGGAGATGGAAGGGTTTGGGGCGGGGTGTGGTGGGGGTCAGGCATGGCTAAAGGCACACCTTCTACGTTCCTGCTCCACGTGCTTGGGTTTCCTCCTTTGGCCATGCCTCCCCACGTCAGCTGAGATCACAGGGACCTGGGCTGAGGGGAGGGCTCCTGGCTCCTTAGTTCAGCACCGTGTGTCAGAGTTTGGGCGGCCACCCATCAGCTGGTGACTGGCACAGGGAGCCTCTTTCAGCTCCTCCCCCCTGGGATCCACGTGGCTGGCCCTGGGCTCAGGGCCGGGTGTGGGTGCTGACCTCGCCTGAACTCCTCCGGCCCTGTTCCAGGATGGAAGTGGGGGGACTTGGGGGTGGTGGGAGCGTGGGGAGTTCGGGGGGTGACAAATTTGGAGCCCGCCTGCTCCACTCCTCCCCCAAAAGCGCCTTGCTGTGTTTAAAGTTTTAATTTTTGCTAATTAATGTCAATTAATTTTGTATAATGAGTGTTTAATTTTGGGGAGTGTGTGAGCCTGGGAGCGACTGCAGTTCTGGGCTGTGAACGCTGATTAGCATCAACACCTGCTGCTTCCCCACTCCCTCCAGTGGGGGGGGGGGACACCAGGGTTTGGGGAGCTGGAGGGCGGCAGGGCCTAGTGGGCAGGTGGAGGAGGACCACAGATGCTCCTGGTACCCAAGCCAACACTGGGGAGCAGAGCGGTCCAGGGCGCCTGCAGCTGGGGGACAGGATTCTGCAGGTGAGGGGTGGCTTGAGGCCCTGGGGGTCTCTGAGCCTCAATCTCCTGTTTCAGTCAAGTGGGGAGGTGGAATAAACAGAGAGGAAGACTGAGATACTCTGCAGTCTTTGGAGAAGAAAAGCAGGAGACCAAATACAGTTTCGAAATGTATTTACAGCACATATGCCATCTCTGAGTAGCTCGTGTTTCCACACGACACACAGGAGCAGTGGGAACCATGCGCAGACCTTTTCGGCACCAGTTCCTCCTGTCTCCACAGCAGGCGTGCTCTCCTGTCTTACACAGGGGCTCTCAACTGGGGCCATCTTCATGAGACATTTGGCAATATTTGGAGACGTTTTTGATGATCACAACCTGGGGGACGGGGGGCTGCTACTGGCATCTAGTGTGATCTCTAGAGACCAAAGATGACTAAACATCCTACAATGCACAGGACAGCCCTCAGAACAAAGAATTTTCCAGCCCAACGTGTCAGTAGTGCTGACGTTGAAAAACCCTCGTCTTAACACACGTCCAGACTGACAGAGTTAGGAAGGTGAATCTGAGGTAAAGGAAGAGAGAATGGGAGTCTGGTTTTCAGGCCAGCTGGGCTTAGGTTCCAGTCCTGACTCTGCATCTCCCCCTCCCCGCCCTCAGAGGTGAGCTCTTGACAGCCCCAGGGCCCCCAGAGTGGCCTTGGGAAGGGGCACCTGGCCTGGGTGTTAGTGACTCGCCCTCTAGTGGTGGCAGGAATGTACTACACCCATCGCACCCCTGGGACGGCCAGGCCCTCAGTACCCAGGAGACCCAATATTAGTCTCTCTTTGGAGAGAATATTGGGGTTTTCTGCCCTGAAAGGCATCAATCTCTGCCCTCTGAGAATCCTTTCCACCACCACCACCACCACTCCAGGAAAGGCAAGGCCACAGGAATGTAGTCCAGGGGAGGAGCAACTGCTTAAAGCCAGGAGCCAACAGCTGACTCTGCAAACCCCACCCCCTGCCCAGCTTCCCAAGTGTAAAAGGAGGGGCTGCATTTAGTGTCTCCACGGGATCTCTGGGTGCTGTCTGAGCTTACAGGATCTCCAGGTAGAGGGAAGCCAGGGGCGGCTGAGACATATCTAGCCTGACTGTGTGTGTGTGTGTGTGTGTGTGTATGTGATGGAGACAAAGACAGGAGAGAGCATGGTTTTCGAGGTGATGGAGCTGCCCCAGGCTCATGGTGGCATCTCTCCTGCTCTCTGAAATTTCCGAATGTGTGATGTGGCCTCAGAAGGCCTTTGGTTCAAACACAAAACAGGGGGCTTCCCGGGTGGCGCAGTGGTTGAGAGTCCGCCTGCTGATGCAGGGGACACGGGTTCGTGCCCCGGTCTGGGAAGATCCCACATGCCGCAGAGCGGCTGGGCCTGTGAGCCATGGCCGCTGAGCCTGCGCGTCCGGAGCCTGTGCTCTGCGATGGGAGAAGCCACAACAGTGAGAGGCCTGTGTACCGCAAAAAAAAAAAAACAAAACAAAACACAAAACCACTTGAGATGAAAGACAAAGCATGAAAGGAAGTGAAAACCCAGCCTCCCTCCCCTCCTGGATGCTTTTGGGGATGACAATGTCCCCTCTCATCTGAGCTCCCTGGCTGGAAAGAAAGAGAAAATGCTGAAAGCCACCTCAGAAGATGACAACCCCAGGCTCCTCCCTTGGAACACCCACAGTTCTTACTGCTTACACAGACAACACATGCCCTGTAATCTCTTCTGTTCACTGTGTACAGTGGTTATCCATTTATTAAGCACTTGCTGTATGCACCGGTTGCTAGCCATCCCTGCCATTGAGCAATGAGAATGCCATCCTGTTTTAGTGATTTCATTTCCATGATCTCTTCCAGAACTTTCAGTTCTGCTGTATTGCTTTCAAACCCTCCCAGGTCCTTCTCATCTCACTCCTGGACAGTCCAACTCCAGATAGACACTGAGAGACTAAGTAAATGAAAAGAGAGAGAGAGACCAAACATGGGCTATGGGTCTCCTTTCTAGCGCACCAGCAAGATCCATTATTGACAATATCTGCAGGTTAATTAAGCAGTCTGTTAGTGATAATGATAAGAAAGCTGGCACATTTTCAACTCAGATTGAGTTCAAGACTCAAGCATAACTGATGTTGGAGCAGTGATGCTAGGAGATGTCAGTGGATGAGAGAGAGAGAGAGGGGGAGAGAAAGAGAGAGAGACAGAGATTGCTTCATGCTGATGGCAAACTCAGTGTCAAGGCCTGAGGAAAATATGCTCTTGCCTGCTGCAGATGTTCTCACATCAGACACATCATGATGCAAAATCATGCAGATTGTGAAGAGCTAATGAAGCACCTGTGTGAAAAGTACAGTGTGGGGGGAAGAAAGAGCAGTAGATAGAAAGACAAGTGTGCAAGTAAGTTCTCAAAAATATGACTACAGAGGAGCTTACCCCTTGAACTAGCACCGGAACAGAGGCATAGATCAATGGAGTTAATAGTCCAGAAACACCCCCAGCTGTAGCGGAAATGAATTTGTGTTAATGCAGTTGTATCGACTTGCAGGGAAAGGGCCATTTAAGTACGGGGTGGAGCAATGGGCTATTCATCTGGGAAAACCAAATACCATAACTCATCTGCTCTAAGAGGCATTTACGCATATTTTAACATTATAAAAATCACCATGTGCCTTACAATGCATGTTGCAGGGGGACCTTACCTGCTCTTCATCACAACTCTCTGTGCATGGGTGAACTTAGCCACGTGTAGAGGTATCTGTTCATGCAACTGTCACCTCAGCTGCCCACAGCAATCCACACAGAATTTGAACTTAAACTTAGATTCCTAATTGTTGCCTAAAACATCTTTTTAAAACTTACACTATAATGGAGCATGGACACGAAAAGTTATTGTACATGCAGAAGATCGTCTGCCAGATACCAGGCAATGCAATTAAAGGCAGCAGAAATTGCCAAACCATAGATAGCTACCCTAAAGAAATGCTTGCCCATATGCACAAAGAGACATTTACAAGGATGTTAATTATAGCACTGTTTGTAACAGCAAATAATTAGAAACAACCTAAATGTCCACCATTAGGGAACTCACGTGGGAAGATCGCCAAAACAAACTTATGTGAACAAAGTTATTGAGTATGTACAGGATGATTTACTGAACGTAAAACCCCACAACCGGTGCACACACGTGTGTGCATAAATCCTTGGGTAATGTTCTAGAAGGGTCACACCTCACCGAGTAATCTTCTTGGGGAAGAGAACCAAATTTGGGAATTAGGGGTTATTGAAGAACTTCCACTTTTTTACCCTAAATTTTTCTATACTGTTTGCATTTTTACAATGAGAACGTAACCATGCTTTACTTGTCTAAAAGTTGAAAAGAAAATGCCAATCTTCTTGAAGTAGATCATAAAAATTTTAAAGCCAGGAGGGGTTGGTGTGACCTATTCATGGGTCCTACACTTAGGCATCTGTTTCAGAAACTTCCTGAAGAAGCTGATTAACTTCAAGAATATTTTTTTCCTTCAAGTAAAGACTAAAATGAAACCACAAGTATAACGAAGTAGGAAATGAAAATAATACCAATAATCTTTCATATG